CATAATGTTCAGTGTAATGGTGGCTAGTAATGAACGAGATGAGTCTTGAGTTTTGAAGCAGTTCATGAGTTAGTAGTATGCAAATGGCACAAGATATTTTTATTTTTAGTAGCAAAGGGTAACTTGATACTTTTGTTTTTCACAAAGAGTAAATTCAATTAGTGCTGACAAATAGTCACCTCTTGTTCCCACGAGATGTTTGCTATTTTTAGTTACAAATGGTAACTCGACACTTTCGTTTTTCACAAGGGAGTAAATTCAATTAGAGCTGACAAATCGTCACCACTTGTTCCCATGAAATGTTTGAACAAACAGATATTGCTATTTTTAGTTACAAATGGTAACTTAACATTTCTTTTTGAGTTATTTTTTTGGTAAAAAATTACCTCTTAGTCGGCGCGTCGGGTATGTTATGGATGGGTCAAGGGATGAGTGAGTGAGTGAGTGAGTGAGAGATGTATGTATGTCACACCAGTCAGATTGGATCTACAACAGCCAGTCAAATTTCTTGTTGCAAAGGTAAATGGTATGTGAGAAGATTTGATCCTGACACAATTTAGAACGGCCATNCTTTCGTTTTTCACAAGGAGTAAATTCAATTAGAGGTCACGAATCGTTGCTTCTAGTTCTTAGGACATGTTTTAGAGGAGACGAGACTATTTGGATTTAAAACAGTTCTAACGTTTACAATAGTAAGTGCAGGTGACGATTGTTTTGTTCTTGTTGCATGAAGATATAACGAGATATTTTTATTTTTTAGTTACAAAGGGTAATTTGACACTCTTGTCTTTCACAAGGGAGTAAATTCAATTAGAGTTGACGAATCGTCACCACTTGTTCCCACGAGATGTTTGCTATCTTTAGCTATAAATGGTAACTTAACACTTTTGTTTTTTATATGGGAGTAAATACAATTAGAGCGAACAGTTCCGTTTTTCTTGTGCTTATGCTTATGCTTATGTCGAGCGCGTCACTAGTGAAAACTGCATAAGACAAATAAGTGGGTTCGTTCTTCTTATGTTTCCGCTTATGCTTATGTTTATGTCGCGGCTGTTTTCACTTGTGCTTATGCTCATGCTTGTGCTTGTGCTTGTGCTTATGTTCTAGTGAAAACCAGCCTTATCAAAGAACGAATCAAAGAAAAAAATAAGATGGTATCTAGAGTCTCTGGAGACGTGTCATTACTGTAGTTTGTTCAGTCAAACATCTTATGGCTTACTATTTAGCTATCTTACCATTACCGATGTAACATCGTATGTACATCATAAATTCCCAGTTTCTTTCTTGCTGTACACCGCAACCAAAATAACTTGTCGAATTAAACAAATCATTACTGTAAACAGCTCCATGAATGCTCCTATCTCTGAGACTTCACAAAAAAATAACTCTTGCACGCCTTGCGTGCCTATGTTTATTTTAAGTTACAAAGGTAACTTGATTCTTTTGTTTTTCACAAGGAGTAAATTCAATTAGAGGTCACGAATCGTCGCTTCTAGTTCTTAGGACATGTTTTAGAGGAGACGAGACTATTCAGATTTGAAACAGTTCTAAAGTTTACAATAGTAAGTGCAGGTGACGATTGTTTTGTTCTTGTTGCATGCAAATATAACGAGATATTTTTATTTTTTAGTTACAAAGGGTAATTTGACACTCTTGTTTTTCACAAGGGAGTAAATTCAATTAGAGCTGACGAATCGTCACCACTTGTTCCCACGAGATGTTTGCTATCTTTAGTTCCAAATGGTAACTTAACACTTTTGTTTTTTATATGTGAGTAAATTCAATTAGAGCTGACAAGTTATCGGCTATTTTTCCCAGGATATTGAACAAAAAAAAGCTCTCATTTCTGGACGGTTTTTACGTCTCTGCAGTAGCAGTTTATTTTTATTAGATGGGCATTTCATGACATTCTTTACAGTCCGACATTTTTAAAGGTAAAAAGTATCAAAACTGCTCAAATGTTCTTTGAAGACTGCGTGGCACCAAGTTAAAGTGCAATTTATTAAATCAGACTTTCAATGTGTCAGAGAGGTTTTTTTCTCTTTCTTTAAATTTTCGGTGAAGTAGTGTTGTTGTGTTGTGTTGTGTAAAAAGGGTAAACGTACGACTCGTATAAAATGCGAAAAGGTCTCTTAACTTGGGTATTTTTGAGCAAAAATTCCTCATGGGGGTTGGAAGGGCTACGTGATCGGTGAGTGAGGGAGTTATGCATGTGCAAGGGTCACACCAATCACAGTGTGGGCTTTATCAGAGAACGAATCAAAGAAAAAAAATAAGGTGGTATCTACATTAACCTGGAGACGTATCAGATTACTGTAGTTTGTTCAGTCAGACATCTTATGGCTTACTATTTAGCTATCTTACCATTACCGATGTAACATCGTATGTACATCATAAATTCCCAGTTTCTTTCTTGCTGTACACCGCAACCAAAATAAGTTGTCGAATTAACCAAATCATTACTGTAAACAGCTCCATGAATGCTCTTATCTCCGAGACTTCACACAAAAAAAAAACTCTTGCACACCTTGCGTGCCTATGTTTTAATCGACGTTGTCCTCGGCGTTGGCGTCGTGCTTTCGTAAACTCCATACCGGCTCGCGGCGTCGACGCTCGTACGTCATGCTGACAGTCACGCTCGCGCGCTTTCTTGTTTTGCGTTCTTCCCCACGGATTTTCGCGGAAAAGAGATTGCTCGCAGTCTAGCCACTACTAAGAATCCTTCTTTTCCAAAATGTCATTTCAATCCTGCCAGATATAACTTGGAACTGCAATTATTCTTACTTTGTCAAACCATTTCTAAACTAAGCCAAGAACTCCCATCGCTTCGATGTTGAGTCAGTTGCACGTTTTACGGAAACGTGTTGAATAGTTAACAATTATTCACCGAAGCGGAGGTGAATAGTGGTGGATATATCCACCACTTTCATCGACACTGAGATGAATAATTGTTTTAGTATATACCACACAAGCTGAATAACTAGCGGACCAAAGAGTAACTTTATTTGTTTACGAGTAACTTTATTTGAAACGGGAAGCCATTTTGTTTTTCTTCGGCCGCTCGGAGGTGAATAGTAGTTGGCTAATCACCTCCGAGCTAGCCAATCAGCGTGCGCGAAAAGTACTATTTACTTGTGTGGTATATACTAATAATAAATATAGTCTCCCGAGACCTAGTGAAAAAGCTTTGAGAAAATTAGTAGACTTGGTATTTGTTTCCACTGTAATTTTCGTTTAATACTGACAGAAGTGGTTGACATGAAGAATATGGACGAAGTTATACAAGCCATCTCTATCGGGCTCATAGTTGCTTGCTTCCTTCTCAACACCAATCGAGTTCTAAAGAGCATCGAAATATGCAAGGAATGCTTGGCCATCTCGAAACAAAAAGCAGCCATCAAAAACTATAAACTAGCCAAAGCATTGTGCAAGAGGGTGTATTTGATAATGTCGAATGCTTATCGTGCTATCAACGACAACACAAATGCCATAAAATACGCACACGAAAGTGGAGAAAAACTTGAAGAATGTATCCTATGCTTCAATTTAGGAAGCATGTATTTCCGTCAACGTAAATACGCAGAAGCGAGAGACCTCTACAAGAAAGCGCTCATAATCAGTACAGAAATTGGTGTCAGAAATGTAGAAGCCGCCTGTGACAGAAACCTTGGAGTTGTGTATCGATCAGTTGGCGAATATGACAAGGCGAGAGAACATCTCGAGAATTCACTTGCGATCAACAAAGAAATCGGTGANCAGAAATGTAGAAGCCGCCTGTGACAGAAACCTTGGAGTTGTGTATCGATCAGTTGGCGAATATGACAAGGCGAGAGAACATCTCGAGAATTCACTTGCGATCAACAAAGAAATCGGTGACAGAAATGGAGAAGCCGACTGTTACGTAAACCTTGGAGCTGTGTATGAATCAGTTGGCGAATATGACAAGGCGAGAGAACATCTCGCGAAGTCACTTGCGATCAACATAGAAATTGGTGATAGAAATATAGACGCCGCCTGTTACCTAACCCTTGGAAATGTGTATTATTCAGTTGGCGAATATGACAAGGCGAGAGAACATTTCGAGAAATCACTAGAGATCAGAAAAGAAATCGGTGATAGAAATGGAGAAGCCAACTGTTACGTAAACCTTGGAGTTGTGTATTTATCAGTTTGCGAATATGATAAGGCGAGAGAACATTTCGAGAAATCACTTGCGATCAACAAAGAAATCGGTGACAGAAATGGCGAGGCCCCCTGTTACGGAAACCTTGGAGCTGTGTATCGATCAATTGGCGAATATGACAAGGCGAGAGAACATGTCAAGAAATCACTTGCGATCAGAAAAGAAATCGGTGACAGAAATGGAGAAGCCGGCTGTTACCTAACCCTTGGAAATGTGTATCATTCAGTTGGCGAATATGACAAGGCGAGAGAACATCTCGAGAATTCACTTGCGATCAACAAAGAAATCGGTGATAGAAATGGAGAAGCCAACTGTTACGTAAACCTTGGAGCTGTGTATATATCAGTTGGCGAATATGACAAGGCGAGAGAACATCTCGAGAATTCACTTGCGATCAACAAAGAAATCGGTGACAGAAATGGAGAAGCCGACTGCTACGGAAACCTTGGCGCTGTGTATCAATCAGTTGGCGAATATTACAAGGCGAGAGAACATTTCGAGAAATCACTAGAGATCACAAAAGAAATCGGTGATAGAAATGGAGAAGCCAACTGTTACGGAAACCTTGGAGCTGTGTATGGATTAGTTGGCGAACATGACAATGCTAGAGAACATTTCGAGAAAGCCTTGGCGATCAGGAGAAAAAATGGCGACAAAAGAGGAGTAATTAAATCTTGCAGTAATCTCGCGGTTTCATTTGGCTTTCTTGGTAAATATCCCAAGGCTAACGAATATAATCGAGAAGCACTTATCATCGCATCAGAAAGTGGAGACAAAGCTGGGAAAGCCTCGTCTTTATTAATACAGGGAGCTATCTTGTGCTCAATTGGTAGCTACGTCAAGGCTAAAGAATATTACGGGGAAGCAATTGCGATCAGTAAAGAAATTGGAGACCGAGCTTTAGAAGCCAGCTGTTACTTAAATTTAGGACAGGTTCTTTTCAAAGATGGTGAAGATGATAAGGCTGAAGAACACTTCAAGAAGTCACTTGCGATAAGTGAGGACATTGGCGATGTTTCAGTACAATTCCAATCGCTCAAGGAACTAGCGTACGTAAGAGCACGAGAAGGAAACAATCAGGAAGCTACATCGTACTTACTAAATGCTATCGAAAAATGCGAGAAATTGCGCGGCTCTCTGCAAGATAACGATCAATGGAAGATATCGTTCACGGATAGAAATATTTCATCCTACCAGAACCTGTGTACATTGCTTTGTCACACCGGAAATCCCGAAAAAGCTTTGTATGTTTCAGAGCTTGGGAAGGCCAGGGCTTTGACAGATTTAATGTCAGCTCAGTACGCTGTGAAGAATCAAGTCTCCGCTAATCCTCAAACATGGGCTGGTATTGAAACCATCATGGACAGAGAACGTAATTGTTCTTGTCTCTACGTCTCCTATTCTCTTGACAGGATATATTTCTGGATCCTTAAAAAATGTGGAGTCACATATTTTCGACAAATAAAAGGAAAGGACATTATTACTTACGAAAGATTTGTTAAAAATCTGGATGACTTTTTTGCCACCAAAAGCTTTAGAGGTTTTGGCATGTCAACAATGGAGCTACGCAAAGATGAGTCTTTAAATGCCATACAAGGTAAATCCAATTCATGCAAGGATGACAGCCATGAAGGTTTCCGATTTGGAAAAGAAAGTAAAGAGAACCAAGGTCCCAAAATGAATCTTCCTCTGTGTTACAAACTAATCATCGCTCCTGTGGCTGACTTGCTTGACGGCTCTGAAATCATCATTGTTCCCGATCGTTTTTTGCACAACATTCCATTTGCCGCGTTGCCTGATGAAAGTGGAAAGACCTTATCAGAGACTTTCAAGATCCGCGTCGCTCCTTCTTTAGCAACCCTCAGACTCATCCATGACAGTCCAGCAGACTATCACAGTCAGACCGGTGCACTGATAGTGGGGAATCCTGATGTTGGTGAGGTGATTTTCAAAGGACGTCTTAAGTCCATTTCGCGACTGCCTTTTGCAGAAGAGGAAGCGAAGATGGTAGGAAGAAAGCTGGGTGTAGAGCCTTTACTAGGACAGCAGGCTACTAAGCAGGCGGTAGTTCAAGCGATGGAATCAGTGGCTCTGATACATTTGGCTGCTCACGGTGATGCAGAAAGAGGAGAAATTGCCCTGGCACCTTCTTTTCGCATTCCTAA